AAACGGTAAGTTGTATTCAGTCACTCGACTTCACTAAGCATAATGCATGAGTAGATTTTATAGTATTCTTTCTTATCTGTAAGTCACGGATCATGAATAAGGAAAAACCACGCCGGGGCATTTCGTGACACGAGCAATTGGGGCAACCAAAAAAACCACGAATAAGCGTTCAAAGAACTGGAATAACCAGTTCGCAGGGGTCGTGGACGCCTTCGAAAAGTGGTTCCCCGTAATCGAATGTGAGCGATGAGGGCGATAAATGGAATAGGCGTTACTTTTTTCCTCATAATTTTTTATACATATAATATGTAAATTTTGATAAATAAAGGCTTTTTCAAAGTATAAAGTAGATAAAAGTTACAAAAACGAAAGAAATCCATATAGTTTGTTTAATTAGAGAAAGTATCACGCATTACCCCATGGCCTGTAACGAATTTACCCCGGCCCCGGGGCAATTCGTGACACATGACACAGCGATACATTACTTGATATATTTCGAGACTCGTGAGAGAAAAACCTATATATTTTTTTCTTTTAAACTAGAGAGATGGACGATTACATCGCACAAATAAAAATATTTAATTAAAACAAAATAAATAAATTTTTCTTGTAAAAAAACTTGGTGTTGCTTTTTTACTCCTGTCGCATTCTTCCCTAAATTATGTTTATTGTTTTTTATACAATCAAAAATCTTAGTACTAATGTTTAAATTTTAATGTTTAAATTTCAAAGTCTAGCAGCGCCAAGTTTTTTTACAAGAAAAATTTATTTATTTTGTTTTAATTAAATATTTTTATTTTGTACTGTTACTTCTTTAATTCTTTGTAATTAAAATGATTCTTTGTAATATTAAAAATTTGTTTAAGAGAATTAAGAAGCTATTATCACTTGGGTTTAGAATAGGAAGACCCTTGAATAGGAATACGAAGATACCACTTGGGTTTTATTTCTTTAAAGTAGTTGCATAACAATTATCTTTCAAAGCAATATACATATTCTCTTTACAATTGGCGCAATTTAATTTAAAGATTTTACATCTTTTTTTGAAATATATGTCACTTGAGTTAAGTTAGGTAATATAATTTTGTGAAGAAGAAAATAAAGATTTCACATCTTTTTTTTGAAATACATGTCACTTGAGTTAAGTTAGGTAATATAATTTTGTGAAAAAAATATAAAGCTACCACTTAGGTTAGATTTTTGAATTTACAAAATACATTGCGTGTACTTGGCACTTTTTTTACCTTTTTTGAAAAAGGTAATTTTGTACTGATATCACCTATTTTGTAGTGTTAAGCAAGGATCTGCAAAACAATTTTATTTTTTATTTTTTAATTATTCACAAAATTAGCAATAACAACAAATACATAAAAATTAATAATATTTAAGTAAAAGTAAATTATACATTTCTCACAAAAATTGAAGGAACACTAAATTTATCTTTAAAAATAGGCAAAATTCGAGCAGCTGTAACTTTGTTAAAAATGAATAAAATTTAAATTTCAAGCTTAAAACCTCTACTTTCGAAAGGTTACTATTATTCGTCCAATTTTTATTATGTCTAGACATAATTTTAATTCAGCAAATTTTTATTATGTCATGACATAATTTTAATTCTGCCGCTAGGGAATTCTTAAATCGATTCTTATGAATCAAGCTTGAATTCGATGTCTAGGTGTCCCAGGTTGCCGATAACGAGGTCCACATAGTGCGCTCCATAGTTTTTGGTGTCCAGGTGTATTAATACCTTGAATTCGATGTCCACGTGTTCCAGGTTGCCGATGACGGGTTCCAGATAGTGCGCTCCATAGTTTTCGATGTTCAGGTGTAATACTACGTTGAATTCGATGTCTAGGTGTCCCACGTTGCCGATGACGAGGTTCACATAGTGCGCTCCGTAGTTTTTGGTGTCTACGTGTATTAATACCTCGAATTCGATATCTACGTGTCCTTACATTCAGATTTAAAATTATTAATACACCTAGACACCAAAAACTACAAAGCGCACTATGTGAACCTCGTCATTGGCAACCTGGGACACCTAGACATCGAATTCAACGTACGATTACACCTGGACATCAAAAACTATGAAGCGCACTATCTGGATCCCGTCATCGGCAACCTGGGACACGTGGACATCGAATTCAAGGTATTAATACACGCAGATACCGAAAACTACGGAGCGCACTATGTGGACCTCGTCATCGGCAACCTGGGACACGTAAACATCGAATTCAACGTATTATTACACCTGGACACCGAAAAGTATAAAGCGCACTATCTGGACCTCGTCATCGGCAACCTGGGATACCTAGACATTTAATTCAAGCTTGATTCATAAGAATCGACTTAAAAATTCCCTAGCGGCACTTTCTGCTAAGCGTAGAGAACCTTCTTTTCCGGCAGCGGTGGTAATACGATGTAATAAGAATACGAAATCTCTCCAGATAAACATGAAGCAATTGACTCAATATATTATATATTATATACATATACCTAATTTACCTAAATAGAAATCTTCCTCCTGACTGATAAGTCTATCGACCTAATTTCGAAATACGCGCGCAATATCGAAACTGGCGATACCTGCGCCGCCAGCGTCGAAAAAGTGAAAGTGACATTTCTCTAATAATCATAATAATATTGAGACGTCGGCGTTAGGAGAAGTATCTTAAAATAAAATTTTTCACATTTTGACTTTGTGTCGCAATATCTCCGCTCGTAGGGCACGTAGCGGAATATTATGAGAGAAACCCCCCCCCCTAATTGGACCCCAAGCTATCGATCAAGCCTACTTAGAACTTGATCCGTTCACTCGTTATCGAGATCTTAACATCTCGGGTACTCGCAACCCGTCGCGTCGCGTAAAAGAGTCACGGTCGGTCTCGCTCCGCGTGTACTTGGCACGAGACACTACCGTGTCTCTTGACTTCTATAAAGCAGGGCATACACACGTGTGTGTGTGTGCCCTGCTTTAACGAAAATCACAACTATTATAAAGCAGGGCATACACACGTGTGTGTGTGCCCTGCTTTAACAAAAATCACAACTTCTATAAAGTAGGACATACACACGTGTGTGTGTGTGCCCTCCCTATAAGCGCGTAATATTATTTGATATTAAATAATATATCCTTAGAATATTAAATGAATAATTTAAGAATATACCAATAATATTAAATAATATTAAATAATCTTCCTGGAATATGAATAGATTGTTATATGTCCACTTCATATAATATTAAATAAATAATATTATTTAATGTTATTAAAATATTATTTGAGAAAAGAAAAAGTATTTTATAATAATATTCTGAATATTTAAAAAGTAATATTATTTAATATTATTTAATATTATAATGATATTCTGAATATTAAAAAGTAACATTATTTAATATTATTTAATATTATAATGATATTCTGAATATTAAAAAGTAATATTATTTAATATTATTTAATATTATAACAATTAAGTTATATGTGATCGGTAATCGCTACTCTGTATGAAGGATATATGGACAAATAGAAAAAATTATGAATTTTATTACTTTCATCAAATAAAATCTTTATTCATAATTTCGTATATTTTTAATTCGTTGAGTAACAATTCTAATTTTTTTATTAAAAAAAAGCAATTTTTTGAGAAACGGTATTTATAATTTAGATTATACAACTAAAGTATATCTCAATAAACAAAAATTAAAAAAAAATTATTAGACAACAAAGATATATCTTAATAAACAGAAATTATAAAAAAAAACGTATATGCATGACTTCTTTTTTTTTTCATTAAATTTCAAATTAAATGCTATAGGAAAATAATCATTCTTGTCTCTTGTTTTTTAGTCGATCCGTTGCGTGAGCTAACCAAATTTTAATAGGTGCGCTTATATCCCCCTCAAGTAGTGACATCCTTGAACTTGCTTCTTACAACACCTAAAATAATCATAGAACGTAATTATAGAACGAAAAAATAAACTCAAACTTTGATAATCTAAATATATTTTGTTGTTAAAATGTAATAAAATTCAAAGAAAAAATGAAGTATATAAAATTTCGTGTCATGCAAAAAATAAAGTTTGAACGTGTCATTATTAATAATTTTATAATATATTTCAAGAAATGTTTACTCCTTTAAATCTCAAAAAGCAGTATTAACATTTACATAAAAAATAGAATTTTTATTTTACTCATATGGAAAATAATTATAAAAATTAAAAAATGGCATTATCAAATATTTTGTAATATGTTAACAACTCTACATAAACTTCTACTTTTACATAAACAACGTTAAAATTTCAAATTTAAGTAAATTATAAGTCTATTCTTACCATATATTATTTTCCATAAAAGCAATGTTTCAAATCTCTGTTTGTTTTCTTTTTGTCCAGTCCAACTGAATTTTGTAGCTACTTCGTTTGTAAACAATGTTGTCATAATTCTCGTAACGGTTTTTTTCATAGTACTTTGTGAGTAGAAATAAAGTGCCGATTTCTGTAAAAAAAATAAATTTTGATAACGGATATTTACAATGATATACCAATTACATTTCCAAAAAAAAGTGGAAATACTGTAAAACTTAAAAAAATGTCTACATTTTTCTAAATAAGTAAAAAATATACAAGTATTATTGGATAATATGTTTATCTTTACTTACAACTTGGTTTTTAAATGTCTCATCATGTTTTAATTGCTGTTCAATATCTCTTACGTCATCGAGACTTTTCATAGGGAATTTTTCATCAAAGATTTTGTTGTCAGTATCATAAATCTGATTTTCCAATTGCTCAGAAGAATTGTGCAGTTTCTTTAACAAACACTCGCAACTCTTTACGCGATTAGTAATATCTACCAAACTACTAATAATGAATTTTTTGAATTTTTTTTGTTTCTGGAAAAAAGTTAATATTTAAAAAAATTTTTAGTTACTTATGAAAACAAAATTTTAAGTTATATAATAAGATTTTTTATATAATAATATTCCAAACATAAAATTTTTACCCGTAGCTTCTTTATTTGTGTTATATGCCAAACTTTTACCCGTAGCTTCTTGACTTTTGTTACATGCCAAATTTTTTACAACAGAGTTATTACTTGTATTTTTCCGAGGATTTGAATTGTTTGATTTGTGATACTTATCAATGTCTTCTTCAATCTCACTATTGGAATCTAATTTATTTGTGTCAATGTAATCCATATTTAAACTGGACACAGATGTAATTTTTGAAGTTGGTGGTTCTGGATACGTCAATTGTGGAGGTTTATTTCTTTTTGGCAATTTTGCAGCAACAGAAGCATTATCTTCAGATTCAGAAGTAGTTAAAGTTTTCTTACAGCGTAATTTTCTTTTACGTTTATTTTCTTCTTCATCTGAAGTATAGTATTAATGTCGGATATTTTCTCTGCTAATTTTTCCTTTTCTCGAGCCCTTTTATAAGTTTCTTTTTACCAAAAAAAATTATTTATTGTTATAATTATTTACAAATAAATAAAGTAGCGTCAAGTAATTATATATAATCATATATGGAATATAATCACTTACGAAAAGCATTTTATGTAAGTTACGTATTATAATTTTATATATAATGCTTCTGATAAGTAATATAATTATAATAATTATATACAATTATATGTACCGTAATTATGTATGGTCGTATATTATTTATAATTCTTATATAATGGTATATAAATATATATGATCCTATATGATTATATATAAATTTGTTTTCCCAGGATTTTATTTAATTGTAACATTAGAAATTAATATATTCTAATAATGTTCTGCAAAATTAGATTTCTTTACTCAAATAATAAATATTAATTTTTCAATATTAAAGCTCTATTATTTTAATATTACTGCTTAAGTAAAAAATTAAATATAATTACAAGAGTTTACTAGATTATTTTTTGACAATTATAAAGAGTGATATTTTAGAAATAATATTTATATAAATCAATGATTCAGCATAGAATATGCATGATTAAAATTAAGAATTAAATCAATAATTAAATTCACGTTAAATTAAATTAATTTTACGGCCGAAATTATTGCAAGTCTAAATAAAGGTATACATAATTTAAGAATAGATAGTGGGTAAATACAAACTTGTTCCATATCTACATTCTATCTCGTATTTTTCCCATTCTAAGTTTACTTCGGCACAAGATTTAATTAAATTCATACGTTGTGCTGTATTTACATCAGATAGCCAATATGTATATTTCTTGTCATCTATTAACCATTGTTTCGGTACTGTAACTAAGCCATCCTTCAGTAAAACTATGTAAAATTTGTCATTTTTCTGTACTTTTTCTGGAAACAAATGGTAAAAATGTACGCACATGCTAACATTTTGCTTCTTAAGTTATTTTATGCAATGTAGTACTTACCTATGACACTCATAATGCTGATTAATTATAAATACGTGGAAACGTATTTCTAGACTTTTCCTTTGTCGAACGGAATTTCACTGTGTAGCTTACGCTGCAAAACGTGTGACCACGTGGTATTAGATATTATAAATACGTAGCACCGTATTTCTAGATTTTTCCTTTGTCGAACGGAATTTCACTGTGTACTACTAACTATGTACTACTAATTAGCCTACGCTGCACAACGTGTGACTACGTGGCATTAGATATTATAAATACGTGGCACCGTATTTCTAGATTTTTTCTTTGTCGAACGGAATTTTACTGTGTACTACTAACTAGCCTATGCTGAACAACGTGTGTGCTGAGCAGCCAAGTGTAGTGTTGCCTTTACCAGCCATGCGCTGGCCGCGCTGTCAATAGAGGGGAGCTAGTCTTCTCCACGGACAGCGTGGCCAGCGCATGGCTAGTAATGGCTGGTAAAAATTAGTAGTACACAGTGAAATTCCGTTCGACAAAGGAAAAATCTAGAAATACGGTGCTACGTATTTATAATATCTAATGCCACGTGGTCACATGTTCTGCAGCGTAGGCTAATTAGTAGTACATTAATAGTAATTAAGTACTCTAATCTAATCAATCAGCATTATGAATGTCATATTGATAAGTACTACATTGTATGAAATAGTCCAATAAGCAAAATGTTAGCAGCATGCGCACACATTTTTATCATTTTTTTTAGAAAAATAAAAAAACGACATATTTTACATAATTTTACTGAACAATGGCTTGGTTACAGTACCGAAACAATGGTTAACTGATGACAAGGAGTATACATTTTGGCCATCCGTTGTAAATACAGTACAAAGTATCAAGTATCAATTTAATTAAAAGATCTTGAAAGCAAAATTAATTCATATCAATTTGCATTATAAGTGTCGTAAGTATAAGTACTATAGTAGATATAGGTATAATTATAATATAATTATTTATGACATGTAAAATGGATAATCGCACTAGCGTTTATCCATTATTCTCGTTTTAATAACAAGATCATAACATAATCTCAAAAATGTAGATTTTAGTTGAAATAAATAAAATAGTATATTAAAATATTGAAAACTTCGTAGTTTCAAATTTAAATAATTATAATGCCAAGCAAAAATTTGTCCTTTTGAGAGTATATTTCTTTCTTTCTAATAATAAAACAAATATTGTATGAAGTCAACGTATAAAGAGAGAGAGATCGTGTCAGTGCAGCCATCTATGGCGTTCATATTGCGGTAGGTCGAAACGCGCGAATGTTTATGCGCGAAATAGGTCCCGACCGCGTAGTAACCCAGGCGTTCGAGAGCGGCCGGGCGCGGGCTTCCCGCGCGCTTGCGTGCGCATGTTGGGAGGGGCGCGCAGCCCGGGCGAGCGAGCATTCGTCTTCCGGACATCGTGCGTTACACATCCGTAGCAATCAGTTCTAATAAAATACGTAGTTGCGTCATCTTTTTGCCGTTTTCTTGTAATCGAGTTGTGAGGTAGCCGAGATCTGCCTCTCCGTGTGCAGCAGCCAATATAACTGTCATGTACGCAGCAAATAAAGGACAACAACTATCGTCGCAGAAAGAAAGCCAGTGAGATACGTCCCGGCGAGCCATGCCGGCACGTGGAAAGCTCGAGGAAGGCAGCCATTTTCTGGAACGTTCGAGAAAGCCTTTTCGGCATGAGATAAAACGCCCTTTCGAAGTCTTGGATAAAAGAGGTTTTGGCTTGGTCCTTTCGACATATATTCATTGTGTGAACATCCAAGGTGATGTTATCGTCAATCAAAAGGTAACCTTTGTAAATATACTTGAGTGAGGACGTTAGACTCTCGTCTACCGTTACGAAATGAGAACGTTAGACTTTCGTCTACCGTTACGAGAGAGATAATCAATCCTCTCAAGGTTACCCTTTGCGGTTATAGCTTGCAGAGTTCACGAGAGCAAGCGAGAGGAAGACTTCCTCGCCTTTTGAAAAGATATTAGGATTTCATCTCGAGTTTAATTGTAACACTGAGCTCAGTCTAAAAATCCATTAATTAATTAATTCTTTCGTTGCAACCATTTTCTTGACAATGAAAAACTTTACTTCTTTCTTTTGTGCGATTAATTCGGTATAATCAATTCTATAATATCTTTTGTAGTTCATTACGTTAATTTGCGGACATTCGTTACATTCAATACTAGAGTAGAATGTTTTACTTGCGAAATATATAAACCGTTTCAGGCGCTGTAATATAATTATCAAAGAACCGTTTGCGTACGTTGATATAAATTCTCTTACTCAGATACTTCATATTATCCTAGTGATTATTTTGCGAATTCTTCATTATCTAATATTACGTTTATGCTGTGGTGAATTAATGTGTCAATCAAAGACTGCCTATTACAAGATTTAATTCAGTAAACTTAGTGAGAAATTTATTGCTTATTTTCCAAAATTCTTTGTTTTGTCAGTGAAAAATTAACACAGGTTGTATTTTTGACCAAACGGACATTTATTCTTACGTTAACTCAAATCTTATTGCTTATGTTTTTGTTGTTGCTCATGTTGTATGTATAGATTGTGTTGTAGTAATCGCTCATGATGTCGTATATTGCTTTGCCGTGATTTAGACGAGTTTGGTAATATTCAATCGATATTCGAATTACAAATAATATTATTTAATAGACAGATGATAGTTATTCATGATTTCAAATAAAAGATTGATGCATTATTTCCCAGATTATACAAATTATAGCTAAATTGATATTCTTGTTTTAATTGATTTGTGTTTATGTTTCAAACGATCCTTTCTTTAGAAAAGAACAACTAATTCTGAGCTTGACTACGTCAAGAGAAATTATATGAGAACATACGATTACAATTCTTTTGATAATAAAGCTTGTTATATGATAAAGAAATACCTCAGTAAAACTTCAAAGTATATTATACCATATATTTAAAGAAAGGACTGTTCTATGATAACCATTTATTTGTTCTTTTATGCATTTGATACATTTATTTTACTCATATTGTATTTTATATTACCAATGTATAATTTTGTTTACGAATACTGGGAAGGTTTTAGGGCAGTTTCCCTTCCCCCATGCAACAAATGTTGGTATTCTTTGTATAGTTTTGCCCAATCTAAATTTTCTGAATTACATAAATCACGAAACGCAATCTCTCTCTCTCAATAAACGGATTCTTTTTATTTGTTTCTTCCTCATCAAATTCTCGAGTTCAGGCTCGTGCGCGAGCTTGTGCAAACAAATATGTTGTTGATATTTTGTTTATCACATTATTTTTAATACATATAAATGTAAATAATAAATTTTTTATCCGATTATTTAAATTTGCGGACAACGCGGCGTAAGTATTTAAATTTGCAACCACAAAGTTTCAATTTTTTAAATATTAAATTTGCTATTTTATTTATTTTAAGTAAAACTTACATTTTGGAAATTACATTATAATTTTGTTTTTACAATGAAATCTCACTCTCTTAACATTTTAATTTAATATTGGATAAAAAT